GTTATGGGATTTTTATAAAAAAGTAGTAAAATGGGTTTTGGTATTCAACCTTTTTGTAGAAAATGAATTTGGGTGTGAAATTTATGCCATTTGCTTTAGCTTAGAGAATGCTCCGTGTAGACACCAGAACCACCTTAATCGAATGTCGTACGAAGATTTGAAATGCGTTTGAAGTTCACTCCTTGTTCTGTCAAATTGATAGCTGATTACTGTCATATTCATACAAGCATCGCAACGCATGGCACAAAGAGGGGTGAGCTGTAGTGCAAGTGCACTTAGCCATGACACATGTCACATTTTCTGCACAATATAGTTTTGAGTATTAAAACTCGATATTTTGGGTTCCAATTAATTTTCTAGCTTTTGTATTGTTTTTGAATTTTGATTTGAGCATAATAAGTGTTTGTTAGAGATTGAAAATGTTAAATTTTGAAATCCTATAATATATGATTTGAGAATTTTTCTCACTTACAAGCTTGGTAATTCTTTGAGAGGTTTAATCCCTTAATTACCTTGAGATTGGAGTTAATTATGATTTAGTAAGGAACCTTTACAACAGCACTTGGGACGAACTTCTAACATGTCTCATTTCTCCATCCGATGTTCGATTGAGGTGATTTAGGTGTCTACAGAGAGTTTTCTCTTAACTCTAGCTAATGGCATAAGTTTCACAATCAAATTACTTTTTTCTTTCAAAAGTTAGACACCTTTTACAAAATCCACTCCTTTTTCATATTAAGTCACCTCTACGATGCCTAAACAACAACAAATGTGCCTTAGACCACACTCAATAAATCATTTTAGACTTGTGCAACACACCACAATCAATCCAATACACATATTATGCAAATTCAATACTTACCCTTTGATTCACAAAAATAAGAGGGGGGAATAACTTTGCATGAAAGAATTAATATTCATCCAATGACAACCAAATACACTTTACCCTACTTATATTAGTGTTTTTGATGCTATATAAGCTTTACAATCACATGCCACTAGCTCATAGCATAAAATACACAAGATATTCTTAACTATAATGCCAACAATTAACAAAAATGAGTTGTTTGATGTCCTAATTGGAAAATAACTTCAAAATACTCATAAATGCATTTATGAGGCCTACAAGTAGGATTTTATTCAGAATCCTATGCCTCAGGTCATTTTTCTCTATCCTAATCTGATGAGCTAGGCCATAAAATATTGAAGAATAAGAGGTGAGTAAAACCACTCAGTAATTAAAGTTAACCTACCCTATACAGTTGCATATAAATTAATTATGGATGCAAATGGCAATAAACAATCATTATATGCATATATATCAAATATAGCCTCGATTACAAAAATAACAACCATGTGATTAGGCGTACAATGCATATAATCAAAAATATCTCAATTATGCACATCATGGGTCATAAAAAAAACATGCACCCTTAAAAGACATGCCAAACTATAATAATAACAGTCATGTGGTTGAAATAATAAATGCATGATTAATGCTAGTCTGACATGAAACTAATGACTATTTAGTAGCTATGTTCGTAATTCAAAATAACCCAACCTTCCACTTGTGAAGAGTTACCAGGCTAGAGTTTACTTACTTGTGTTCTACGATTTCCCCCAATACTAACAATTATGAGGTGTTGGACACCTAATCTAGCCACTTCATGAGCCAATAGAGACTAGTTATATCTAAGCCGCTTGAAGAATAAGTAGGACAGTCCCAAATCAATCATGGAATAATGACTACCTCCCGATTTTAATGATCAGTTTTAGGACAAGCTTCTGATTCCAACAATAAGTTGCCATCACCACGTGGAATTGCCAATCTACTCCTTTTCCTAAGTGAGACTCTTGCTAATGATCATGTTATGTAAATAATAACAAGTTGTATGCCATTCAACACACATTAATCACATCATAACATGTTCACATAAATCTCTTTCTCTACTATACTCCACATACCAATTTCAATAATAACATACTCTCAATCACCGTCATTAATTACACATGTATAAACATACATATTACTTTCAATAATTCAATACAACTTCAAATAGTGTCAAATTTGCATCAATGGGTATTCAAAACACCAAATAAGTTCCAAATCATTAAATTCAATAAATAACTAAATAATAAACAACTATACAAACTAAATTTTCCTTCCAATTACCTCAAACCTTTGAGAGGTCAAATATTTCTCCCTCAAAACACAACTTCCAAAAATTTTATTAATTTCTTATGAAAACTTAAAAATTATTTAGAAGATATAACCTGATTATATAAACTTTGAATTATAAAAATTATGTAATTAATTTTAAAATTAAATAATTATTTAATACAAATATAAAAGTGCTTAGTTTTTTAAAGGAAAAATTAAAGGATATTAATCTTTAATGATTAACAAATCTAACAAATCAAACTATAAGAATTCAATTAAAATAAAATAAAATATAGAAAATCAATTTAAAATTGAAAAAAACATAAGAACCTACAAATTAATTTTTTCATAAATATATAAATAAACCACAGTTGGGTCAGCTTAAATAAAATTGTGTCATTCAGTTAAACCTGTCCCTAAATTTTTTTAAACTTATTCAGGTTGGCCCGGATTATTGGTGCTCTAAAAAATAAAAACAAATTATCTTATTTAGAATATTTATTTTGAGAAAATTAATTTTTTTTAAAAAAATCTTGCAACGCAGGATATGTACTTTTTAATATGTTGTCTAAATTAAATTTATAATTTTATTACAAACATTGCACCTATAATTTTTTTTTTTACTATGAATCGTATATCCACCACCATTTTTTAACAAGCCTCACACGTATTTTACCGCACAAAAAAGGAAAACAATATTATTGTGCATGTTGAAAATATGAATAACATGTGTACATAATAAGAAAAAATATGTCAACTTGTTTTATTTCCACACAAATTAATTTAAAATTTGTTATTTCATGCATGTTCAAACTATAAAAGTAAAATACAATGTTATTGTGCAATTTTATCATAATTGCATATACTTTTCTTCAATTTTTAAAACTTATGCGAGTTTTCTTTAGGATAAATAATCGCTATATTTTACTCAAAATATAAAGAATAATTTATTATTTTATGTAATTTTAATCTTTTATGGCCACATAATAAAAAAATTAAAATTTTTAAAACAATCTAACCCATTAAATATTTAATTTTTAGTTTTTACCTTTTATTTAAATTAAATTTGTAATTTCATTGCATATCCAACACTTACTCTCCTTGTTAAAAAATGTAAGGTATTTTTAACTGAATCTCACCCTCTAATATAAAGTAGTTACTTACTTTTTAACTAACCCTATCTTTTTATATTTACCTCTATTAAACACCCTATAATAAATATAAAATTATTATCAATAGGGGCAATTTTAAAAAAAAAGACAATGATTATATTTTGAAAGACTAAAAATATCATATATTTTGAAACATCCAACTCCTCAAAAAATACTTTATATTTTTAAATAGATGGAGTATTATTTTTACTATATAAGTCTTTTATCCACTATCATTTTCTAACATGGATCCTGCGTCTATTATTTTTATGATCAATCTCATGTGATTTTTTGAAATATTAAAGTTTTATATTTTTAATTTTAAAAATAATTTTTTAATCTCATTACAAATTTCATATTTACCATTTTCATTAAGTTTTATCTTTATTACTTTTTTTACTATTGACACATAGATTCTTCCTTATAATTGAACCAATAGTAATTTTATTTTATTCAGAATATAAATAATAATTTATTATTTTATGAATTTTTATCCCTACATAATTTGAATGAAATTTAAAAAAAATTCCAGTCAGTCAAATACTTATTTTTGACCTTTCATTTAAATTAAATTTGTAATTTTATTACATGTCCAACACCTAATATTTTTATTACCAATGTTATATCCACCATTATTACATTTCTACTTTTCTAGTATAGATCCTACACCTATTATTTCTATCATGAATCTCATGTGATTTTTTAAAATATAGATTTTTTTTTACATTTTACATTTTTTAAAAAGAAAAATTATATATAGATCTCTTGGAGCAAACTTATTTATAAATAAATTTTTAAAAATTTAAAAATCACAACTATATTCCTTGAAACCTAAGTGTAATCTAAAATTAGGTGAAAAGACAATAATTTCCTTTTTAAAAATATATCATATCAATTACATAATTTACAACTATTTCACTAGTAATTTACAACTATTACTTCAACTTTTTACAACAATAATTTTAAATGTCTAATGGTTAAATGATCATGTATTATTAAAACTTTTAATATTAATTGTTAATAACTATCTTATTAGTAATTTATAAATATCACTTCAACTTTTTACAACCAAAACTTCACGTTTGATAGTTAAATCGATTATGTATTACTAACAAGATTTAATTCTAATTATTTACAATTACTTCATCACTAATTTACAACTATCACTTTAACTTTTTATAACAGTAACTTCACATATTCAATAATTAAAAAGTTTGAACATTTGATGTAAAAAATTAAATTTTACAATTGTAAAAAGTTAAAATAATAATAAATTATTGATGAAGTAATTATAAATTATTTTATTAATGTAATGTATTTTTAATAGGGGATATTACTATCTCTACACCCTAATTTCAAATTACATTTAAGTATCAAGGGACTTAATTGTGATTTTTAAATTTTGTAGAACTTATTTATAAATAAGTTTACTCCACGGGACGTATATATAATTTTTTAAAAAAATTAAATTTGTTATCTTATAATAAATTTCATGTTTATCATTTTTTGATAAAATTATATTTATCATTTTCATATTTTTTTCACTGTGAACCATACACCTATTTTTTTTTATAATATGGTCCCACATTATCATGCAAAACTTAAAATAATTAAAATAATTTTTTTAATATTATAAAGTACTATCCAAAGGATATATTTTACAATATAGTGAGATGAGATTCATCTTGGTCAAAAATATATTATATACAAATTCAGACAAAGTCAGCATGTACTTGAAACGAAGCCCCCCTTGGTATCCACAGCCTTCTTCGATACAAAATTGATTTGTCTATTGTCTCAGCCTCTCCTAATGCCACATGTCAGCCTACCAAGTTGAAAATTTAGGATTATATTACTCATACACATGAATAGTCTTTATTTACATATAAAGTTATTTTAAGATTCCACTTAACACAATTAAGTATTTCCAAATTTATTAATAATTAAGCTTAGGAGAATGAGTTTTATTCTTAAACTCAATTGTCAATAAACTTAAAAGTAATTAATTATATCAAGTAGAACTTATATGTCCCTTATTTATATCCCCTCTTGCTCTTATCATATGAGTTGATATCATCTACCTTTTTTTTTTAATTTTTAATTTATTATTACTATTACTATTACTATTATTATTATTATTATTATTATTATTTTGCTCCACTCACACTTGGCCTCCAGCCCTACATAGTGCGAACTTACCAAAAAACTTTTGGCATCCTTCTATATTTGTTTTACAGCAGCCCCCCATTTTTATAGGAGTTTTTTAATTTTGCCCCCAGTGCGTGCTACCCTCGATCGGTCACTGGAACTGAAAAAACTTACCTATCCAAGCCTCCCTGTAAGTAATTTTTTTGGTTCCAAATTTTCAAGGAATATCAACCATATTTAAATATACATAATTTAAATGATATGCATAATTAAGAGATGAGGGTGGGGAGTCTAACCGAAGACAGGCACTAGGCACATGCTAGCTCTACATACAACCTCCTCACCACCAGCGCCTAGTAATTACAGCTTTTGCCTAATTATCTTGTTACATGGAACACCACCATCACGATTACTCCCACATGTACAGATGCCATGTACATAGAGCTTGTATCTGAACATTAAGTTCACTCCTGTGTTCAAATTGCTTTTACACTTCAACGTGACTCTTATGACTTCCATTGTTCATCTGGATTGATTTTTTTCCTGATTAAACTTGAGGTCGAGACATGGGTTGATTGTCTGGAGGCTGAGAATTCGAATTACCTTATTGAGAATGAGAACTCTGACTATCAGAAGAATGAGAATTTCACCGATGATAATGACTCTTGGCATCATGAATGGTTTGTGTGAGTTCTGCATACATGTTGACAGATGATCTGGCAAAATTAGTTAGCTGACCAAGAAATCTGATCAAGCTCGCTCGAACTTGATCTAAACCCAACACCCTCTCCTCTGAAGTGTCATCTCTAAAGAAATTTTCCACCGATCCACTACCTTTTTCAACCTTCCAGGATGTCGTGCGTGGATTATTGGCACCTTTACCCTGGTTCTTCTCTTGATGTGGTAAAAAGCGGGCAATTTCACTAGCTAAACTCTTTATAGAATCAGTAACGTCCTTGGAGGGTAAAGTATCGAGCTTTTCTAACCAGACACCGCAAGTGGCATATATTAGAGGGCCATAGTTCCTGAATGGAGGAGGTTGAAGCCTCCGTTTTCTCTTGTTTGATGATTTTTGCTGGAGAGAAACACATTTGTAAAGCCATCCATTTAGAGCCTCCAAGTAAAACTTTTGAGCTCCTGTCCACTTGGAAAAACTTGATTGCAGAGTGTGGAGTTCATTTTCAAGATAAACAGCCATCTGCCTACGTAATTCAGATTGCACGGCTATTCTAGCACGGCTGTTACAATAGGCTGTTGACATGATCTGAAATTGAAGCTTGTGGCATTCAGACATTACTTCCCACATTCGACTTGAACTGCCATCAAAGCAATAAAATAACAGAGGAAATACAAAACTAAGTTCACCTTTGAGTGTAAAAGTTCATAAAAACAGGAACAGATAAATATTAATCCACAAAGCATATGTCTTGAGCCTAAGAAACATGCAAACATCTCTTGCTGAAGATAAACTGCCGCAAGGCCATTCATTGCATTAAGCTACGAAATTTGTCCGAATCTAGGCAAAGTTCATTTGGGGAAATGGGTGCTAATTTTTTCTGTTAGTGTTTAAGAAAGATATAATAACTTACTTCTTATTCGAGAGTGTTTGTTATTTAGAGATTGGTCACTTTCTGTTTTCACTTGGTGGACCTTCAATCCCACTGCAACTAAAAGTTCCTGAGCTATGAAAAGCTCTTTAAAAAAAATAAAAAATGGCAATCACCAAAATGTTTGCTGGCACGACTTAGACTAGCAATGTGAGCATCACAATGATGCCTTAGTGCCCCTCGAGCTAAATGTTCTTGGCTGAGCTATGAAAGCTCTACAAACCATGAGTGCAATGTAAGATTACCAACGCTTTGAAAACAGGGCCGGTCATGAAACCACTCAAAGCACAGGTTCAAATTCAACAATCAAACATAGTCGAATTGTGGTTGAATCAGTAGTAATTCGATTAATATATATTGAACTTTATATTAAAAAAAATCATAAAAACTTATTTGACCAATTCTTGACTGGTTCTCTTTTCTTGCAAGCTCTATAGATTTCTGCATTAGTTCCAGCATCGATTGACCAGTTTGGTTCAGTTCTAATAACATTGAAGACTGACAAACACACATCCTTTTTAGCATGCAATTAAAAGCCACAAGATGCCGCATAGATCAGCACTTTGTAAGAGAGGGGGGGGATCATACCCTTCAATCAACTCCTCAAGTTGTGGCTGAAGCTCTTTGTCCCGCAATTCCTCAATCCTCTTTGATATAGACTCTATCCTCTGAATTGCAACTCTGATTCTTGAATGCAGATCTTTGACAACAGCACGAGTTTTATCAATTGTGGAGCTCTTTTCTCCTTTTGATTCTAGGCGTCTTAAGATTTTACACTTCATGTCATATTTTTTACTTACCAATCCACTAGCCTGAAACCAACAAAAAATAAAAGAGGAGATCAGGAGATTATTGAATAGACATGGAAATAGTTATACCAAAATCATATATAGTTTTGAAGGCATGCCAAACCAAAAATTCTCATTTAGTTATATTTGCTACTCTATCTAGAAAAGTGTTACTGCTGCGCATTACATTTCTATTTAAATGGGGACGTAGAATTAGAAGTGCATGCCCACTGAAAGTCAACATTTGTCAGAGCAGATAGCAACTTCTATGTTGTCTCTGTAGTTTCAAACAAAAATTTGGTGTTCCATGATGGTTACTATTTACAGTTCGCATAAACGAATACCATTTAAGATTAATCCAACCATTATCAAATCAATGCTTAATTAAGATTTTACTCTGTATCTGCACTTGGTATGATTATCAATCAATAAGCCTCATGATAACCAGAAGCAATCAAGGAATGGAACCAAAACAATTCGTTCCTTATTGGAGATCCAGAAAGAAAGCTACTTTAATGATATTATTGATGTAACTGACTTAACATTAGTCATGTAGAACTGTAGGTGGCCAAATAATGAGGAACAATTGGGTGATAATATGAGATGACCGACTTGACACTAGCTTTCTCTTTTTATTTAAAAATTAAAAAAAAAAAGCTTGATGGTACCTTGACATGAAGGAAAGAAACCAATAAATTTAGTCTGCTTCACTCTTTAGCACTGCCAGCCGCCAGCTTATTTCCCAACAGGCTGTTTTGCCTTCTCTGAAGTTGGTTTCAGTTGTAGACCATGGTGTGTCCAAGAATCTTATTATTTCAAGGATTTGACTTTTCAATTACACTTGCTTTTTAGATATTTCAACTTAAACCAATTTAAAGTAGCTCATCAACTGGCTACAAAATGATAGTTCAAGTTCTTGAGAGCTTTCCTAACCTTTAATTATAAACAGTGGCTTAAGAGGCTCTTTAAAGGATTTACGTTTTAAATCCTTTGACAGCTGAGAGCTTTAAATGTGCTGCATCTGACTATATGCTTCGCCCAATCAATATTCACAATTGCATGCTTGTGTTTACCCATGTATGACATATGGTCTACCAAGTTACTGTGATTAGTCGGAGTAGTCAGATCATATGACTATCATCATAAGCCACTTCAGTGCCATTAGGTCGGTTGGGCATAAAAGGATTTCCTGCAGAGAAGAGTCACTAGAGAAGAAGCTATGTTATCAAGAGGAGAAGGCTAATTGCATCGTTCAAACCTTGGGTCAGAATATCTTTCATGAAAACGGCTGGCTATCAAAGCAAAGTTCCATTACTGTGAAGGGATTCTAACATAACAGTATCCGTGGGTACCATCTAGGAGTTTCTTTAGGAGTCCTACAATTATGCTTTTAAAATTATCTTCAGGAGTTTACCTTGAAGTTAATTTTTATATTTAGAGTATTATAATTAAGAGAAGAGAGGGATTGGCGAACAACAGTGAGCATGCAAGCAAGCTTTCCCATATGCCACAGGTCTCAGCTTTTTTGAAAAAGAAAAGTAAACAAAAAAATTGTTGGTTGCTTTAAAGTTTCCTAGGTAAATTTGAAAGGATCCAGGGATTTAAGAACCCAATGAGAAAAGGGACTAGGTTTAAATTTGTTACAAGCTAAGTGTCTTGGGATAAGAAAAATATATTTCTTTCAGGGATGGAGACCGAAGTATCCTACCCATTGAGTCATTAACCCCTTGGACCACGTATAATTTTCAACTAACACTCATTTGTATTTGAAATGGGAAATCAATGTTGTCCAACAAATTTTAACGGGAAGGCCTTTCATTTATACACCTGGCCATCTATGAAATTAATATTACTAATTGCCACTGGTCCCCTTCATGTCTAATTGTCGATTACTACTGGGTGGAAAAGTGAATTTCCCTAAACTTAGAACAAAGAAGCATAAGCTCCCCACAAGTTTGCCAAGAAGTTATAGAAATTATGGAGATACATGTGTAGGTCATCTCTTGTGATCAAAAATTGAAGATTGCATGCAACATGACAAGATAAATTGTAGGACAGCTAAATTTCAGTTGATATGTTGGTTGATGTAAATTGAAAGAGAGATTGAATTGTTCATAAAAGACACAGTACCTTGACTTCATCATAGAGCTTTCTTTCCCATGCATACAGTCTATCCAAGGTTGATGCATGGCTGCCCGAGATCATGCAGAAATTATCGAAGATATTACTTGTGATGTTCTCTACACCATCTTTAGAGTTTTCTCCTAATGGGTTCCTTGAAGAAGAAGATCGAGATGATTCCGTGCCATGCCAAGTTAAGTACTTAACCAAGTTTTGAGAAGGTTCTGAGAAGATAAAAGGAAAGAATTAGAAATAGATTTCCAAGAAAACTAGAAACTAAACGAGAGTTTATTCCATATGTTCCTATGGTCACAACGCATTAAGTACTTGTTTGCTTCACTTTTCTCTTGCTTAGAACATTAAGCAAAAGAGTTGAGAAACACCTTCCGGAACTTGACCCAGGTCTTCCCCGCATGAGAAACATGCCTTCAATATTAAAGATGTCACAGGCCTATCTGCTACAATCAATGATTCCCCTGTTTAGAACATTTCCATCTGTAAGAAAATTGTATAGAAATGATAATCCAAAATTTTAGCGCCAATAATGACAGGATATTTGGTCAAAAATGAACAGTGGTCTTGGTAATGAAATTGTTCAATTATTTATTTATTTATTGGTCAGTGTCTAACTTGATATGCCTTTACATGCGGCGCTATGTATTTATATATTTATTACTGTTGCTGTTTATGTCCAACATCCATCAGATAGTAACTTACAGACAGACACCCCAAAAAAATAAAAAAATGATAGATAAAAATATTACTTTCTTTTGCTGGGAATATCGGTCGGAAATGCAACTTATTTGCTCCAAGCATTTTTGGAACCTCCATGCCAGATTCTGAAGCTTTTGTAAATAGAAATTCAATATCTTTCATGCTAGAAAACAAGTCCTTTGGAGCAACTTTATTTTCACTATGATTTTCTTTCTCCACTGATTTATTCGTTTTAGTTCGAACTAAAGCTACGGCAGATGTTGTTCCCAGTGGTGATAAATTAGGGGAATTGCCCTTCTCTCCATTCATGAGTTCAACTTCAGAATCAGGATCCCCTGTCAGAGGCTTGGTTGGGGCAAGTGATTCATTAACTGCAGTTTTGTCATTAACTCTGTGAAGATTTTCAAATCTTTGGACCAAGGAATTTGGGTCAGGCTCATTGCCAAATTCATCTTCAGAATTCTGAGAGTCTTCCTTTCCATGAGAAGAATCCTTCTCTTCAGCCTTTAATCTGGTTATATCATCAGGACTCCCCATTTCTTGGCGCACACCTTTCCCTTCCATAAAAGAAAATTGATGGTGAACAGGATCAAAAAGACCAAAGTAATCCCAGGGCTGATTTCCAACTGGATGAGAAGAGTCATCAAATGCTAACCTTTCAGCCCTTTCATTTGAACCAGGCATGGTATGTTGCGGTGTACCTGATGATGTTACTATCCCTACGGAATGAACAGGAGACTTCTCTTTGACCTTTCTAGAAGAGAAACTGCTGAATTTCATATGTTTTGCTTGGATCTTACAAGAGCTAGGAGGAGAGGGAGATGAGGAGAAGGTTTCTACTGCATTAAGACGTCGAGACACAGATTGCAAAGGGGCTGGGAATTGTGAAAGAGTCTTCTCAGGTAAACCAATGGGATCTGCTGTTGAATTAGTGGAAGTGTACAAGGAAGATTGAATTGGTGCTTCAGTTTCTATGAATCTTCTCAAAGTTGTTCCTGTATTTTTCAGTGACTGGACATATGACACATGAGCAGCTGCTAGTGAGCATCGCCCATCAAGTGCTTGTCTAACAAACTTCTTCCTTTCATGGCACAGTTGAAGTGCCTTATCATCCTCCATCTTGGATCTTGAGGCCCCCATTATCCCACACCTTATTTCGACTCCTTTGTGCTAAATCTAAGGGAGGTGGGACTCTATCTGCAAATTAATTTCAGTATCATGGATATTAGAGAAATAATAAAAGACTAATATATGCTAGTGAATAAGATATTAGACCAAGTAATAGTAACCACGAGAGAATCTCAGCCCAGAAAAATCTCATTTCCAGAGCAACCAGATGCTTAAACGTTATAAAGGATCACTAGCATCAAGATTAATGTGGTGATGTTTTCTAGTTATTATTATTACTATGAACTGTCACCACAAATTTTTGAACGCACACAACCATAAAATGGAAGAGCATTGCAGATTGAAGAAATATATGATAGTGAAATCGTCACCGTAATATGCAGCACCGACTACTGCTAAAAGAAAACTAATTAAAATTTCAAAACAATGAAAGAAGACAATGGGTGTCCACTCCGTGAATCAATTACCACTGCAGTGAGAAAAACAATCACGAAGGATAAATGCAGGAAAAACAGATAGGAACTTCAAATAAACAGGATACAGAAACCAAGGGAAACCAGAGCTTGGGGTTGAAGAGGCAAGAGAGTTCTACGAATAACCCCAGAGACGAGCTCAGCGAAATGGATTCCAAACGACATAAAGTATCATACATCATTCATCACAAGGCTCGTGCAGTTAAGTGTCCGTAAGCAAAGCCGTGCTCATCATCCAAACATATCAGCTGGGTTCAAAGTGGGGGAGAAAAAAACAGTACGAGCCACGTTTTGATATGTGTATGAAATGCAAAAGAGAAGAGGCAAATTTCAAAGTAGATATTTGAAAAATCAGCAACAAAAATAATAAAATTAGCAAAGGCAGTGAGACCCGAATACAACTTGTATGTCAAAGACAAGGAGAAAACCAGAGAAGCAATAAATACAATGGAATATGATAAAAGTTTGGGAATTTAAGCGTACCGATTGTGCAGCGAAGCAGAGCAACACGTTGAGAGCTTGGACTTAGAGAGACGAGCCGCCTAAGGGAAGCATCGACCCAAAACAAAACAAAAGCGAGATTTCAGAGAATTCACGAAAGAAGAGCGGGAGGAGTGCTCCCATGCAAAAGGGTCACAGAAAGACAGACATGTGAGCGTGAAGGTGGAGCCCACTTGTTGCAAGATCCGAGTCCCGAATCAGCGAACGGAGCGTTGCGGTTCAAATTTAAGGCAATGATCTGATCATGAAAAGAAGCAGAAACTAGAGAGAAAATCAAGAGGTTTGAGAATTGAGGGTAAAGCAAACACGTCTGGCTCTCTCTCAACTATTACAGTAACCATGACTCTCCAACCTTTTTTCTGGCCAATAGACTATCCAACTAAACATGCAATCATGTTAGAGGCCATTCAGTATTATATGGCAATCATATATTAGAGAATTCACCTTATTATGAACTTGTTGAGTGGCATCTCTATGTGGTTGGCGGTTGGCATTTTGGATTGATCTTTCTACAAGTCAAGTCTTTATTGATGCCTTCACGCTGATGTTCTTTTTCAGGCCCCAAAAAAAAAAAAATGTAACGTTCTTTTTATATCTTTTTTAATTAAACTTTCACCAAACTATATAATATATATGCTGTCTCCTTTATAAATTAAAATTTAAATAAGTTAACGAACCTCCATTAGGAAAACAAATCTCGTTAAGAAATTTCTAGAGGCAAAGAGATAGCGTGGGTCTTGAAGCACTTTGGAGATAAAAGGCTATTCTTCTCAAGACTTCTAATCTTATCCCTGAAAAATAGCCCAAAATACTGTCGTGTAAAAAGATTAAAAGAGAATTATTTCAAATAGGAGAAAAAAGGGAAGAGAAATAAGCCACAGCAAAAGGATAAATAAAATGCCTTATACTTATCGTTTATTTAAAAAATGATAAATAAAAAAGGAACAATATATTTTATGGTTATTTCTAAATAACTAACAAATAAATATATTATTTTTTTAAAATATATATATATATATATATATTTAATGATTGATTATAAATAAATGTCAAATATATACTTAATATAGTTTACAATTATGTAGAAAAAAGTATAAAATAGATAATAAGTTTATTTTTGTTTAAAAAATACATCTATTAAATACTTGTTTCAAAATAACAATCAACACTGTGAAGCATCAATTTAATGATTATTTATAAACAAAAATCAAATAAATAATATTTTACGGTTATTATGAAGTAATGATTAAGTATTGTGCTTTAAAATTCCTTGACAATCCCATTTTCATTTCACACTTTGAAAAACCTTGAGTTATCAAAAACACTCTGGATGACGCGACAAGCATTTTCCAGCAATCGAAACACTATTTAAGCCATGTCTGTGTCTGGGTTTGTGATTTTTTTTGCTTGTTGCCTCCATTGCCATCCTGTTGTGCTCATGGGTCCATATGTTCTTCGTTTCGTGTCTTCTCGTGGCATGTTCCTCTCTTCTTTCTTTAGTTACGTTTTATGGCTTTTTTATTAGGGTTTTTGGCATTGTTTCTTCCCATTTCGATTAAGCTCTTTGAAATTTGTTCTTTCTTCCCATTTATTTGTTTGTGGCATTGTTTCTGTTGAGTGAATATGATGATTGAGTTCAAATGAGTTGAATCTGAATGAAATTGAGAACAATGCAATTAATGTTGATTCTTTTATTGTAGTTGACACTAATTAATTGGCATGTTGTGAATTCAATGGATTTTGTGTGATTAAATGTCATGCCTAGATTTGGCCAAAAAAAAAAAATTGTCATGCCTAGAAAGTGTTTGTAGAAATCACTCATCGATTAACTTTGTTTTTTTTTTCCTAGAGAAGTTATAATTATTTTCAGTATAAATATATTGTTTTTAAATGTGATTAACAAAAATATTTGATCCATGTGTTTAATGTCAATGACATTTGTTAAATTAATACAGAATGGCCTCTCTTGTTCTTGGTGCAGTGTAAATTTGTTATTGTTGTTGTGCTTGATAGGTATAATTTGTTGGGTAACTTTGATTATGTATGATTAAGTTAAATTAGACTTGCATGATGAAATTTTAATATCAAGAGCGAAAAAGAAAAACTCATTTTTAAGCTTTTATGTTAATGAATCTTTCTAATTATTGTTAGGCAATTTGATTGTATATATAATTGAGTTAGATTAGACCTACATGATGAAATTTTAGTATCAAAAGAGTATAAAGCTTGGAAAACTTTCATTTTAAGTCGTCATGCTATTTATTTATTTTTTTTCAATTGCTAGCATTTAGTTTTATGGAATATGATCATTTTGTAGGATAAGATCTCTGTTAAATTATTTTGTAGCAAAGATACTTTATTCTGAGTTCCTTACTCTCAAGGGTGAGACACTATGCGATTAAATGTTTTTATATTTAACTAGTTGTCTACTGACATTTATCATTTCTTATTAGGGAGCACTGGATATCAATCATGTGGCTAAGAAATTATGATATTTGTATCCTATTAGTGGGGAATCGACCAACAGGAAAGACATTTTAGAACTTTTTAATAAATAAGTTGAATAAGTGTTGCACTTATATTTAATTTTTATATATAATTTCTCGTATCAATTTTTCACTTGAGAAAATTAATTATTTGGTCCTTGTAATTTTAAAATAATTATAATTTAATTCTTAAATTTTGACTCATTGTAACTCGGTCATTATAATTTTGACTCAAGTATAACTCAATTCTTAAACTTTAATTCTTACAACTCAATCTCTATAGTTTAAACATTTAAATAGTGATTTTTATAATTTAAAAAAAATAAAATTATAAAGATTAAAACCATTTTGAAATTTTACTCTTCATAATTTTTATAAAGATTAAAACAGTTTAGTAATTTAAAATATTAGTCCCAAATTTTAACATAATTTTAATCTTTATAATTTTATTTTTAAAAATATAAGGACTAATATTTTAAATGGTTAAAAATATAAGAACTGAGTTGCAAGAGTTAAAGTTCAAAGACTAAATTACAATTAAATCAAAATTATAAAAATTGAGTGACAATGAATTAAAATTTAGAAATGAAGTTATAACTAAGTTAAAATTATAAAAATCAAATAATTAATTTTTTTCCTGTTTACTTCCTTGTTACAGCTGTGGTGATGCACCATGCTATGGTCAATAAGCCCTACCTCAACCTCTTGAAGTCATATGACATTATATGTATATGGAACAAAATAAAAGTATTCATTTAATTAGCCAAATTTTATATCAAGAAACTGTCAATTATTATAGTATTTCAATTGATCTTTGCTTCTTTTTTTTTCCAGTGTTCACTTCATTCAAAATTATGACTATTGCCTCATGAAATTCATGAAGAACATCATTACGCATGCCTCTCAAACAATCCCTAATAAGGTATATATAAACCTTAGCTTAAATTATAAATAACTTTATTTGACTAATAACTTGATTTTTCCGTGAATATATTAAGGAAAAAAAAACTAACAACTTGATTGTAGTTTTTTGCATATAGCACTTTGAGAATGCCTGCTATATATGGTAAGCAGCTACTTATGTAGAAGTCCTTGAAAGGTTGGTCATGAGATTGTTCTAGCAATGGATCGCGTCATTTGGTAAGGGCAATAATTGAGGGATGGCTATGTGTTAGTATGGCTTTATTTTAGTACATAACTTTGGCCAGTTTTGATGTGTTATGCCACTTAGTTTATTTGCAAATTAGCTAAGGTTTTGGATGGTTTAGGTACTATAAAGGTTTTACAAACATATTTAGGAATGATTTTAATGAAAATATATATCATCTGTTATTGCTGCTATTCTTTGTTTTGGATTAGAATTTTTTTCACCCAATGTGCATGGGATTGCTTTAAAAAAAGTTCTATCTTTTAACAAAAATATCATAATTACTTGATAGTTATTTTAAAATAAATATCAAGTATTATACTTGAAGGTTAATTTAGTGTACTCAACTAAAATTACTAGTAATTTAATGTGCTGAATATGGAAGTATCCTTATTCCTCAATGCCAAAATACTTTAAAGTTTTCTAAACAATTTTAGGTTGCATTTGGATGAGTGAATTTTAAGTTAAAAATTTGAATTTAAAATCTCACATTTAAAATTCATAAATTTTAAATTCTTTGTTTGGATGATATAAAAAATTTTAAATTATAATATTAAAATCATTTTCTTAGATTTAAAATAAAATTTTAAATTTTAAATTCTATAAGGTTGTGTTTGGATGGGTGGATTTAAGTTAGGAGTTTGAATTTAAAATTTCATATTTAAAATCTCACATTTGAAATTCATAGATTCTAAATTTTTTGTTTGAATGATATAAAAAATTTTAAATTACAATATTAAAATCCTTTATTTGGATTTAAAGAAATTTAAAAGATTAGTTAAACTCGACAATTCGAATGGCCAACTTTCAACAAGATCAGACAAATAAAGTTGACTAGAACTGTGGCATCGGTGACGACCGGGATGAGACCTTCGACTTCGAGACCAAACTATTGCAACAATAGGGGCGGAATGGCCAACTTCCATTGGGACCGAACCGATGGTGATTAGACAATCGACTTCGACTGAGACCAGACCGACGAGGACTAGAAGGTTGACTTCTACCAGGACCGGACTAATAGTGGCGATAGGGATCGAATGGCCTACTTCCACTAGGACTGAACTGATGATAAATTTGGGGATTAGACTATCGACTTCTACCAGGACCAGATTGATAATGATGACGGGGATCGGACGGCCAACTTCAACAAGGACTAGACCGACGACTATAATGGGGACGGGACAGCTAACTACCACTGAGACTAGACCGAAGATGACAACGGGGATCAAAAAGTTAACTTCCACTAAGATCAAATCGACAACAACGGTGAGCATCGGACGGTTGACTTCCACAACGACTAGATCGATGCCAACGATGAGGACCAGATGGTCGACTTTCACTGGGACCGAATATACTATGATGACTAAGACCAGATGGTCAACTTCTACTAAGACCAGATGAAGGCGACTTTTCGATCCTCAGCTGATAGAAGTTAGACTTTTGATCCTCATCATCACTGTAGGTTCGATGGAAGTTAACTATCCAGTTCCTGTCGTCGTCATCACTTTGGTCTCGATAGAAGTTGGCGATTCGATCTCAGTCATCACTATTGGTCCAGTGCTAGTGGAAGTCAACCTTTTGGTCCCTGTCATCTTCGTCAGCCCACTCCTGATGGAAGTCAGTCGTTCGGTCCTAATGAAAGTCGATCATCTAGTCCTAATCATCCCCATTAATTTGGTCCTCGTCGTCACCGTCGGTCTAGTCTTGATGGAAGTTGATTGTCCTATCCCTGTTGTCGTCATCTATCTAGTCTTGGTGGAAGTCACCCGTCTTGTCC